CCCAAAGTCCATACCCCCGCACACCCCAACCCCCTGCCCCAGCCTGGAGCCCTCTCCTGCATCCAAAGCCCCTCATCCCCAGCCCCACCTCAGAGCCCGCACCCCCAGCTGGAGCCCCCACCCCTGCCCCAGCCCGGAGCCCTCTCACACATCCTGAACCCCTTATTTCTGGCCTCACCTGGAGCCCACACCCCTAGCCCAAAGTCCATACCCCCGCACACCCCTACCCTCTGCGCCAGCCCGGAGCCCCCTCCTGCACACCAAACCCCTCATCCCCAGCCCCACCCCAGAGCCCACACCCCCGGCTGGAGCCTCGAACCCCCTAGTCTGTAGCAGTGCATGGGATTCTTCCGGCCTAAGTGCAGGATTCTGCACTTGTCCTTGTTGAGCCTCATCAGGTTTCTTGTGGCCCAATCCTCCAATTTGTCTAGGTCGCTCTGGACCCTATCCCTACCCTCCAGTGTATCCACCTCTCCCCCCAGCTTAGTGTCATCCGTGAACTTGCTGAGGGTGCAGTCCAGGCCATCCTCCAGATCATCAGTGAAGATGTTGAACAAAATCGGCCTCTAAGGATATTAGAGAAAAAAACTTTCCAAAAATGTAATCTTAGAGTGACAAACATTCCCACCGTTCCCTTTCTGTGGAGATGTTGGTCTGACGGAGTCTGGCTTTCTGCATCTTTGCCCCATGTGTGACAATTATGTGTCTGATCTCTGGTTATTGTGCCCCAGAGAAAAGCAGCCCAAAAAAGCATATGGGGCTCGGGGGAGGAGTCTGTTTCACTGCACACTGATTTTGTTTCAAAGGCAACAGAGTCCTGGGGACTTTGCAGCAGCATGCGGGCTGCCCGGAATTGTGTGGAATTAAAATTAAGAATGTGCTTTGCTTTACTTTAAATCGCTGCTGTAGAATCGCTTCTGTCATTCGGATCTAGTATTTCAGGAAAGCTTGGAGCGATAATTTATGCCATTGCCAAAGCTCAATTGCTAATTCACAGAACGCTGCTTCTAGCTGTCAGGAAAAGTGTCCGGCATAAACCTTGTGTATCGGTCACACTTTCGGTTTCCCTAGCAAATTTACAAGTAGTGTAACGTTCTGCTGACAATTATCGGTCCCGACCCTGCGAACACTGTGGCTAGGACTTCGGACTGGGATTCCTTGGACCCCAGTACATACCCTTGGATTGTTTGGGGCAGGGACTCTCTTATTGTAGAGGCTGCTCTAACTTTCACCAAACGCTACGTTCCCTCTAAGGTACGCACCCGTGTGGCCGCACAGGAGACCACCCAGGGCTGTGCAGGCGTTCACACTGCACTCGAGGGCAGGGGGGCAAGGTGGTGGTGGTGGTGGAGGAGCTTGGGGCATGCGGCACTGCAGTGACTCCCCCATCCCCGCAGCTGCTGTGGCCTGGGAGAGGCGCCTCTCCCCCAGCCCAGCTGCTGCTGCAGGAGAGAGGGCTGGGGGGGAGTCCTCTCTCCCCACTGCAGCCCTGGGCAGCCTGCACCCCAAACTCTTCATCCCCGGGCCCATCCCGTACCCAGCCAGAACCCTCGCCCCAGACCTGAGCCCCATCTGAACCCCTCAGCCCCGCCACTGATCACCTCCATATTGGTGCACGTAACAAAATTCATTCCACACATGGATGGGAAAAATTAGAGGGAACATTGCCCAAACGGCTGCTCCTCTGGGCACAATCACTGGAACATAGCGTGTCCTGCCCCATTGCACCCACGGGTGACCACAGAATGCCCCCTGTACTGCGGGGGAGGGATAAGTGCCTGCGCTAAGGTAGCTATCAGCCCCATGCTGGAGCCCCACAAAGGAGACTGAAGAGAAGCCAAGGAACTGGCCTAATAACCTGATCTTTATGGAAAGTTCATCTTGTGAGTTTGTAAAACTCATTCTTCAAAAATTATCCATTTATTTTGTATGGGATTTTTTGACAGATCAGTCTGGAGAATAGCCTCATTGAGGACTAGCCATCTGTAAAGTTTCAGCTTTGGAGTTACTATGTCATTAAAAGCCTCCTTGCAGAGGAGAAGGTGTATTTGTATCACCTTTACCGACCTGAAATGGGTGAATGGACTTTCATCAAACTTCCCCTCTCCCTTCTCACAAAATTAGCTGAGACTAAGGCCTGGTCTGTGCTAAAAAAAATGAGGTTGACCCCGCTATATTGCTCAGGGGTGTGAAAAATCCACTCTCCTGAGTGACGCAGTTAAGCCGACCTATCCCCTGGTGTAGACAGCGCTAGGTTGACAGAAGAATTCTTCCATCGCCTAGCTACCGCCTCTCAGGGAGGTGCAATACCTACATCAGCAGGAGAACTCCTCCCCTCAGCATAGGGAGTGTCGACGCTGAAGCACTGCAGTGGTGCAGCTGTCGTGGTTCAAGCGTAGACAAACCCTAAATTTGAAAAGATAAAACTGAAAAGGAGTTTTTTAGAACGCTATGAGCATGTGAAAAAGGGATTACAAGGGAAGCCTACCGCTAATTTTAATTTCAGTGTTTGCTACCAGGAAGTGCTGTAATAAGCAAATGCTTGATTATGTATGTGTAATACCATGCCTACAGTTACACCCACACGTACACACTGCGTTGTAGTCTGATATATTTGTAATTAGGCAAAGCACTTGGATCATTACCTGATTGTGACATAATGATGTTTTCAATGACCACTATAAACAGCCATCCAGGAAAGAGAAATATGGATTTGTCAATTGCATAAATTACAGCAGCAAACTCTACTATATGATTAATATATTATTACTAATACCTGTATATATTACACTGTACTGAGATGTTACTGCATATTTAGTATATTACTACATATGTGCATTCCGCACATCACACAATGTAATTATGCTATAGAATTAAGCAATTTCATATTCTTATTAAATGATTCCCTTGGGGAGATATAAAAAACACAATGCAATGGGTTTTCTGTTTGTTTTTTGCATATGAGAGAAGAGAATAAATAAATGAATAAAAAAGAATACCATTTCATATGTATTGTAAATCCAACTCCCGCCTCCCCCAAGAAACCCTGGGATCAATAAATAAAAAAGTCTATCTTTATTAAACTGCTATATGGAAAATGGTATGTGTTCTTAAGGCCTCAATTACCAGGAGACCTCTCCGTGGATTTTCTGTAGAGTTTACTCAAGGGAAAACAGTCCTGAATGCATCAAAACCGTGAACGTTTTGCCTGTTTCATATTCATACTTTCTCCCCTTGTGTGTGACTGATTTATTCTGCTCTGTGCCCCCAGGGTGCGCATTGTCCAAAGAAAAGGCTGCCAAAAAATAAAGGAATTCCCTTTTTGCTTAATAAATAAATAAATAAATAAAAAAGGCAGCGGAGGAGAGGGGAAATGAACTAATTCCTTTAAATGTCACGCAATATGGAGTCTCGTGTATGATTTCACCCTACGGTGTTCCCTAGCAAAGTATGCTTACCATATAAATAACTCTAATACGGTATAAGACACTCTCCCTGAATAAAAAGACCCACTTGAAGAAAACCACGCCATGCTGTGAAATGTGATCTTTTCTGGTTGCATATTCAATAGCATATGTGAACTTACTTGTCATATACTTTTATTATTTACAAAGTCCCATAGCTAGTATTGTGCTGCTGTGCAAACATTGACCTGTGGGGATCTTAGGTTCTTTTCGAGACCCGTTTTGCCTTAAAGCATTCTTGGATTTTTTCAGTGACTTCTTAGCACTCTGGTTTGCATCTGTGATGAAACAATGGAAGCATAAATTAGTTTGACAATGTCAGCAAAACAGGCTATAGAGAGTGGGCTTTCTATGCAGAACACAATGTCCAGAATTAGAGAAAAGCATAGGACAAGGCAGAAAGTTACAAGCCATTAAATCCAAATATTTTTCAGCAGGAGAAACAACAATTCCCATAAAGGGGCAGTTAATCAGGGCTGTGGTCCAACTCCATACAGGTGTTGAGGAGCGGTTCGTTCAGAGCTGCAGTAAGAGGGATCTTTATGGAAGGGCAAGGCTCTTGTTAAGAGCCCCTGCCAGATGAGAGCAGACCCTTCTCTCGTCACAATAGCTGCTCACTGAGCAAGGCTCATTAAATATTCAGTTCCAGCCTCAAGCAGCTCATTAAGTCAGCAATGAGCAGTGACGCGGATGTTGGAAAACCCTGCCTCAGTTAACATCACCATGCAGAAGCTTCTTGCATCTCTTGATTCTCATCTGCTCAGTGCCTTCTCTATGATGACCAGCTTGTGCTCTCTACTTTGCATTAAATACAGGTAAAAACAGCCAGGTGGATTTAAGTCCTCCTTGCAGGGTTTCTAGCATGGTTTCTGCATTTGACTTGTCGTCTTGGGCCTTTTCAGAGACAGCTTCTGGGGCCCAAGCTAAGCATCGATTGGATTTTCTATAGCAGCATCTGTGATTCAATGTTAGCTGGAGGTTATGAAGAGGATTTTACGGGTTTAGGGCTTATAGAAATAAAGTTTGTTACTGTTGAAACTGTAACTTTCATAACAGCAGCGGGGTAACACGTAGCCGTTACATATTCTGCGTTAGATACTGCCCACTGTTACGCAGCATTAACTTTTACAGTAGGTGCATATTCCCTTGAAACATCTTGCTTTAGTTTTGATTTGAGAACTGATCCATAGGACTGTGTATGTTTCTTTCTGAATTGTGTATTTAAAATCTAGAATATTTCAAATAGTAAACTTTTGGCGCTTAATTTAATGTGAACTGATACGTAGCAGTAGTATGCTCCTCAAGCCGGGGGGAGGGGGAGAGGAGGAGTGTTAGGTATCAGTGAATTAAAGTCATACTGAAAGCACAAATATAACTACATACAGCTTACATGTGTTTTCTCTAACGAGCATTTAAAGCTGTAACATCTGACAGTATGTAACTAGAAATGGAAAGGCAGAACATGTGCAAAAGTTCTTCACTGCATTTTTATCTGCTATTTTTCATAGCACTTAACTTATTCTGTTCCTTTAACAGAAAGTGTTTTCAGACGGCTCATTTCTACGTGGAGGACAGCAGCTCGCCTCGAGTGGTCCCTAATGAGAGTATTCCCATTATACCTATCCCAGGTAAGGCAGGCCTACCCTCCTGTTAATTATTGAATGAAGTCATACTTTTTATGGACAGGTTCTAGTTTAATTATGTGGATGCAATAGAGTTGTGTTTGTGACAAGATTACAATTTTCCTTTTAAGTCTTTACAGAGGTTTGCAATGTCCATGCTGTTTCATGAAAATTAACTTGCTTTGCAGTTTGACTCTCACCATGAAAATATTGTGCATTCATCAGACAATTCACTCAAATGGTTTCAACTAAAAGTTCCAGAATAACTTTTTTAAATGTCAAAACCAAAAGTGATGTCTTTTAAAAATAGAAGCACAGGGCATCCAGTCTAGAACTGAATACGGATTCAGGGCCAATTATGGAGTCTGGCGTAAGCAACTCCGTTGGTTTCAGCTCAGGGTGGTAGGATTGCTCTGATTTACACCAGGTGCAGATTTGGCCTTCACTGTTATATGGGAACGGAGAGGGGAATTGCGTATAAGTAAAGCACCAAAAGTATCATTCTCAGCCATTTGTTATAGTTGTAATATTCAAGATACCAAAGGCCAAATTCTTCTCCCAATTACACTGAAGTGGAGCTGAGAGCAGATATTGGCTCCGGGTCATTTTCATGGGATATTTCCAGATATCATCGATCACACAGAATTCTTTACTCCTTCAGTGACAACGACAAGGAAACTTTAAAGTTTCATGATGTTGGAATGGACTTTGCGGTTGCTACCTTGTTTGGTATTATTCAGTCTCATTTACAGAACTAAAATATACAACATGTTATAGTGACATTAGTTTCACAAAGGATTGTCTATTTGTTGTGACATGATGACATACCTTTCCTTTGTTTCCTTCTCGTTTTCTGTCGTGGTTTGGCAGCTCTAGGATTCCGACTGCAGCTATTACATTGATCTTAACTAAAACTTTCAAAGATGCCTGTAGCACACTAGGACAAGAGACACTGGAGAAATACACTCACTGGAAAGGGGAAAGCATCAGAAACCTCTCTAATGGGTATAATAGCATTGTCCTACCTCACAGGCATGCTGCGCGGATAAATATATTAAAGATTGTGGGGCTGAGATAATGGGGGATATACGAGTACCTCAGAACAGTCAGACTGGATCAGACAAATGATCCATCTAGCTCAGTATCCTGTCTTCTGACAGTGGCCAGTGCCAGATGCTTCAGAGGGAATGACCTGTACAGGGCAGTTTGTCGAGTGATCCATTCCCAGTCATCCAGACACAGCTTCTGGCAGTCAGAGGCTTAGGGACACCCAGAGGAAGGGGTTGTATCCCTGACCATCTTGGCTAATAACCATTGATAGACCTATCCACCAGGAACTTACCTAATTCTTTTTTTAACCCCATTATAGTTTTGGCCTTCACAACATCCCCTGGCAATGAGTTCCACGGGTTGATGGTACCTAGTGTGAAGAACTACTTCCTTATGTTTGTTTTAAACTGTCTGTTCATTTCATTGGATGACCCCTGGTTTTTGTGTTACATGACGGAGTAAATAACATTTTCTTACTCACTTTCTCTACCCCGTTCATGATTTTATAGACCTCTATCATATCCTCCCCCCCTTAGTTGTCACTTTTCTAAGCTGAACAATCCCAGTCTTTATAATCTCTCCTCGTACTGACGCTGTTCCGTGTTCCTAATCCTTTTTGCTGCCCTTCTCTGTACCTTTTCCAATTCTAAGTACCTGAGAGAGTGGAATTTTCTCTAATATTGTCTTGGGCTAATATTTAATAACGCTGGTCGAGGAAACATTTGAAGATAAGACCTTGTTGAAATTCTCCCATGTTCTTTAGGGATCCCCTGGCTAAAGAACCAGAATCCTGACAAGCTCCAAACACAGAGACATTTGCATATAGGCCCAGGGACAGTCCAGATTCTAAATCCCCAGTTGAAGAGAAAGAGACACATTCCTCTCATTCAGTACTTGTTCTCTGCTAGGAAAAGCCCTGGGATTGTTCGCTTCTGCTGGCTAGTTCTGTTCTGCAGTGTTTCTAGCCTGTCTCCTCTTTCACTGGCTTTGCGCAGCAGAGTCCCTGAGACTGGCTGGGCAGCCAAGCTGATGTGGAGGAGATGGAAATCTGGAGCCGCACAAGGGGAGAGTTGAATAAGGCTGTGAGGGGATATGTGGCGATGGGGAAGCTGGGTGCAGGCAGGAGATGGGGAGCTAGGGGCAGGCAGGAGGACAAGAAGGGCTTGGCCCTGCTCTCTTGGCTCCTTGGTGCACCAGGCAGCATCACTGTGGGGTGTGAGGATTGGTGGGTGTGAAAGGCACAGAGAGCGAGCTGGGATATGGAGGGCCAGTGGGGCTTTGCAGGGGCACCAGGTGATCAGCATAATTTTGGGATGATGGTTGGGCTGAGCAGGGAGGGGTCGGAATCTGGGAGGATTGAGAGTTGGGTGCAGGGTACTGAGGAAAAGGAGGCCCAGCACGTATAGTTAGATATTGCTCAAACTTGAACAGTGGGGTCTTGGCTCATGACTAGTGCTCCTCGGCACAATGGTAATACAACTAATAATACTAGTTAATGCCGCCATCTCGGTATATGGACTGTGCCCTCATTAGACCACTTGGGACCGGCTTCATCATCACTGAGCGGCATGGAAGGCTGACATCCTGACGCACCAAAAACCAACCTCTTCCTTCCCCAGCTGGGACAGCCCTTTTAAAAAAAAATGCAATTCTGAAAAGACCCTCGAGCTCCGTTAAAGCCACCGGGGCCTCAAAGAGGGGAGATGCCTCAACCCTTGATTTGTGGTGGATTTTTCTCCCAATGTCCGTCCCGATCTGCCAATGCTTTTCTTCATCAAATACATTCATATAAAGAGAGCTTGCTACTTTGGTGAAGAATGGTATCTCTGCTGATGTGGGGGGGAGATCTCAGTGAATATATTCAACCCACAGATGTACTAGGTATAATAATATTAATAACTTGCGCTTTATATAGTGGCTTCCACCTGAGGATCTTAAAGCACTCTATGCACATGAGTTAATTAATCCTCGCAACACCTCGCTGAAGAAGAGGGCAGTAAGCCTATTTTACAGATGGGTAAACTGAGGCACGTAGTGGTTATACTTAGGCGTATGAAGATGCAGATAGGTGCCTAAATAATTGAAAATCTGGCCACAAGTGATCTGTCTTAACACAAGGGTTCTCAAACTGGGGATCGGGACCCCTCAGAGGGTCACAAGGTTATTATATGGGGGGTCACGAGCTGTCAGCCTAAACCCCAAACCCCGCTTTGCATCCAGCATTTCTAATGGTGTTAAATATATAAAAAAGTGTTTTTAATTTATAAGGGGGGTCGCACTCAGAGGCTTGCGATGTGAAAGGGGTCACCAGTACGAATGTTTGAGAACTACTGGTCTAATGTGGCATAGCAAGTCAATGGGTGAGCTGCAAGTAGAGCTCAGGAATGCTAAAACCTGTGCACTAAACACTAGACTCTGTTTCCTCCAGCAGGAAAATAGATATGTCACATGAAAATGGCGACTTAGTCCATTTTGGATGGTCCAGACCTCATCTAAACACTTCCACGGGAATAGAAAAGACCTGCTCCTGCCTCCCCGAATCTGCCTGCTAACAGGAGCCATTTCTCATCTGATATCAATTACAGCTCCCATAAAGCCATCCCATTGAAATGGTTTAAAAAGATTGAACAGCAAAATCCTCCTTTGATTCACCTGTAATTCTGAGGAAAAGATGCTGCTTTTGAACTTTTTCTGCTGGAAACTGCCAGAGAGCGTGAGAAAATCTTACTTGCCATATTGATCCTGGAAGTAAAATATAAGTGGCATTTTCACAAAAGCGAGTTCTTCAAAGTAATCTTATTAGCTTGTGATACCCAAGGCAATACCTTTTAAAGATATTTAACTCTATCCCCATGGAGCTATGCATCTATTTCCTTGGATTTAGTGGACCAAATTCCACTCTCAATTGCACATACAGAGCTCAGTTGAAGGCAGTTTAGCTCAGTGTGTCTGAAAATGTGTAACGGCTTTGCCAAGACCGACTGATTCCTCTGCTCTCAGAACTCTAAAAACACTGGCAACCTCTTAATATACTATCAATAGCTTCTACCATAAAAATGGAGCTTTGCAGGACCACAAGCAGAAAAATCATCCAACAGACGAGTGAGTTTACCCATTTTCTACCTCACTTCCCTCTGCCGAAATTTACTTAATTATTGAGCATGAAACCACCTAACCCATAGGCATGCTCTCTTATCTATGCAAATTTTGCCCTGAAACATAAAGCCCTTTTCATAATTCATAATTATCTGTACTGCTTGATCTCGAGAAACATAGGACAAAGGAGAGATCATTAACTGACTCATCCTCTGGCTATTACAAGTGATGTATAAATCTAAACTCAGCATGAGTCTGATTTAGGATCACGCCCCCAGGGGTGTAATGTACCTATAATTGAATGGCAGATTTCTTAAACACACCTGCCACCCTGATCATTTTTTTTTCAACTTCTCTGTCATCATTTCCTCAATCAGTGAATTTTGGATCATGTCATCTTTCCATGGATCTCTTTGTTATAAACATCTAGTCATGGCAAGACCTCATGGTAAATGTTTCCTGTTTCCATTCCTTTTCCCGTTTTCCAAGTGGGTCGGCATCTGCTGCAAGTTGCTGATGGCATTTCTGTGCTGGTCTTCTTTTGGTATGGCCCAACAACTAACAGGAACAGTTAATCCTCTAAAGACAAGTTTTGCCTAGAATTCGTAGTCATGATTGCAAATCATGCAAAACCTGTTCTTGAATAACACTTCTGTAGTCAGAAGGCATGCCCCCAGCCAGTTCCCATTTTACTCTTGTCACAAGATCTGAGCCAGTAAAGCAAAGCAAAGGTATCATTGGTGTAACAGTGGAGCTATATGGTAGGCACTTCTTCCATTTCTACCACATACTTTTCCTCCTTGATCAAGCATTTCATAGCTTTTTCTCCTCCTGTGTAGTGAGCTGTTCTTCTGGGGCTT